CCATTTCATACTTCTCCGTAGGAAGAAAATGCATCGACCGGTGAAGTGAATTGGCAAGGAATACCTGAACACAAAATCGAAATTGTCTGTTTAATTGATGAGTACATTACGTTGGAGATGTCGAACTTAATTCAAGAGCATTTTTAGATTCAATACCCGCATAGTTTCCAATCATTGCTGCAGTAGCATTGGCATGAGGCCCGACGATGGCTAGTTTTTTTATTTTCTTCAATTTCAACGGCAAAGTTTCATTGACATTTTTCAATAAAACGATTCCTTCCCTTGCTGCTTCTGTTGCTAATTCAATATGTTGTTTGGAGCACACATCCTTCTTGCCAAGAGACTTAAACGTGGGATTCCCATCGAAGAAATCTAGCCTCATAAGCACCACATAAAGGTTCTTGAGTGATCGGTCGATTTCTACCTCCTTCACCTTCCCTTGCCTAACTGAACTTTGAGTGAAGTTTGGGTAGTAGTCTCCACAGTCTAAATCCATACCTAAAGTAATTAACATGGAAAACTTAATTAGGAAAACCTAGTAATTAAAACGAAAAAGCAAGAACATAAGTATTTCCCAAACAAAAATGGGTCAATAAGTTAATTTTGCAAGGAGTACTAGCCTGCTTTCAAAGCTTGTGCAGCAGCATCCTCTTTGGTGTCGCCGAGCCATTTGTGGTCGTCCACCATAACTTCAAGAGAGTCACAATCCGAGACTATATATCTGCAAGACAAAAGAATAAAAAAAAAAAATTATTCGTATCCATGAAAACTTTAGGAGAAATTTTGTAAAGGTGATTAGCATAGTACCCATGAAGATCCCACTCTCCTCTAATGGTAGAGTTTCGGATCAGCACAAGTAGGTATGCCATTAACACGGTTATAAGAGCACATTACACTGCTTACATCCCCATCCTTAATACACATCTCGAATGGTTTTAGGAAAGTTTCTGCCATATCTTGCTCCGTCTCCTTTTCATAGCAAACAGGAAATAAGAATATGCTAGGAAACACATTTTGTATCACTTTAATTAGTTGATTATACGTGGTTTATTATCTAACATTATAGACTTACCCTGGCATCAAAATGGTAACGATCAACACCGAGCCAGTTGTCTACATCGTAGGCGGCATAATGCTTGCAGCATGAGGAAACTTTGAGAGGTCTAGAGTTCATATCTGTGGCATTCTCTGTGCCCTCAACATCCTGCAAGCCTCTGACATAGTTAGAGGCATAAACGCCAACAACATAAGGGTCTTCACCGGGTGTTTCCGTGGCTCTTCACCACCTCGGATCCCTCACTACATTAACGTTGGGACTCCAATATGTCAATCCGGCTCTTCTGAGATTGTACATGGCTCTTGCTTCTGTTGAAACAACCTAAAATATTCGTAAAGAAAAAAAATCATTTAGTACAAGATCAAATTATATAAATAAATATATTTATACAATTCAAGCAAACGAAAAGTATAGCTTTGAGCATTTTTTTTTATTAAAAAAAAGTAATTTCCATAGCTTTGTCTAGTGTTGTCATCTTTTCCAACCAAAAACATTGACAAAAATGTAGTGATACTATGCATACCTGACCAATTTGCTTCCACAGAGACTGGTTGAATGCTGCGGTGGTAAGAATAACAGTGGGAAAGCTTGTTGCGCCCGGAATAAGATCATCGAAATAAGTCCCGGGACCAACATTTGACACACCGTGGAGTGCCTCGGACCACCACTCATACTTTGACAACCCCAACCTTGGAACCCCCTTTGCATTATTTCCAAGCTGCTTCTCTTTCTCCGCCAGTGTCATCCTATCTACCAAGTCCTTGGCCCTATCACCATACGAAAGTTTAGAGTCACAAAAGGCGAAGGCTGACATGTCCAAACCAAGGTCAGAATACCTTGAAGGATCACATACATGAGTGAAGTTGCTACCACCATTGTTGCATGCAACATTGTTCGAGTCTAGGGCTCTTCCGGCATTGGAAGAAATGGCAAAGTAAGCAATGGAGAAAGTAACAAGAAAAACAACAATATTGGTAGCCATGGTTACTAGCTAAGTAGATGAACGATTGAGGGAACCAACCTACATATATATATTAATACGTATATGGGATAAATGAACTAATATTTTGAAACATAGGCCGGAGATAAGTGAAAAAAAATTTAATTCGGTTTTTAAAATCATGTGGATATATATGATGTGGAGATCAAGATTGTTAATTCAGTTTTTAAAATCCTGTGGATATGATATGGATAGAAGCTAACTTAGTCTTGAATTTCATATCCGAAATTGTAATTTTATGAAATCTAATTTATGTTTTCTAATTTATAACATTGTGGCCCTATATTTAAGTAAATAGAAATTTGTCTAACTTAATTAGCCTTATTATTTGTACCCTTTAAAAGAATTTCCCTTCTTTTGATTTTGAAGTAAATGTAATATTTTATTTTCTATATCCTACCTTCGTAATTAACTCAAAGACATTTATACTGTTTCATATTAATCGGATACAAACTTTTCGTAGACTACACTTGACACAAGGTTTTCAACACACAAATTTGGAACTGTTCCTTATGGCTTTCTTCAAGATATGGCTTTGAATTCATGAGTGCTAAACTAGTGACCTTTTGAGAAATCATAAAAGTAAGCTTCAATGGAAGTTTAATTAGAACGGAAGTTAGTGAAATTTAGCAAGAAATGAAATCAACAGGACATAATTGTGTCTGCTTGACCATTGTGAGATGATTGTATGCATTGTAATTGACGAGTCTTAAGCTCATGCAAACATTGAACACAAACCGAACGGTTTCGCTCCTTCCAATTTCACAAAAACCTTCTCAAACCCGATCGGGCATGCGTTGCAGCGATACAATATGGGGTAAACAAAATGACTTCTTTTTATTTTTTTGGTCGAAAGCAAACAAAATGACTTCAATTCCATCCCTTTTTACCCGCATTCTCTACCTAAGCACAATATCAGTTTCATGGTTTTATTGGAACAGGAGTACAAGGTGTCTTGTATTCATCTACTCTATATGGCGGCAATTTGTACGACAAACCAAAAATAATCTCTCATACAAATGGTTATTTTGGATATTATTTTTCTTCTACAATTCACTTTAACAAATGGTTATTTTGGATATTATTTTTCTACTACAATTCACTTTAACTAGTTACCATGTCAATGGCATGCTCTTTGGTCTGAATTCTCCACATGACTTGAGTATCTTGTGAGTTTTAAATCTTCAAAGTATTTACCATGTCAACGCTAGGCTCATCTACTATCCCAAACAAAGAACATAACTTCTTTTTTTTTTCGACACCGTTTTCAAGATCAAGGAGAAGGTTCAAAAATATACAAGCGATTCCCATTTCCAACCAAACCCTAGTCTTCAATGGCCAAGTCTTACACAACCAATGTGACGTTGAATACTGTGACATCTATAACAATTCTCACATCCAAATCCTAGTCATATCTGAATCCGATGAATCGACAAACAATAGTAACTGTAACAACAATGTGAAGGCCATGGAGGACAAGCCTATAAAGCTCAACATGAAGACCCCACGTCCAAAAATGCATGTCTCTATTGAAATCGCCTTACACAACACCATCTCGAAGCTAAAAGAGAAAATTCAAGCCATCAATTTAGTTCTTTCCTATTAATCGTTTGGTGCTTCATACAGTTGGAAACAAGTCCACGAATAAGCTGAATCTTATCATCTTAAAAAGTGTGGTACAAAAGCTGAAGCTTATCGTGTTAACAAAGTGCAGTACAAAGAAGATTGATGTGAAAGTGAACACATTAGATAATGTAGAGTAGTTGAGGGAGAAGCTCAAGAGGTTGCACCACTTTCATTTGCTGCAAGAGACCTATTTCTTTATAATGTGATGGAGAACGACAACTAGTTTCGGTGGCACCAGGTTGGGCAGGTTGATAGGATGGAGATTTTCAGTGCTGTTCACCAGTGGATTGTAGGTCAAGGTATTGAGCTATGGCATTTTTCATTTTGTTACCATGGTTTCTAATTTTTTAATTTGGAATAAATAAAAAAAATCTTCAATCAATATATTCTACCTACAAAACAAAACAAAAAAGTTAAAATTCAGTTAGAATTATTTATCTAAAAAATTCAGTTGGGTGAAAAGAATGTATTACTATTTTGATACATTTCTCTTTTCCAATTACTGCTATTGCAAATAATTTAAGAAAATGAAAATTACCTCATATTTTAGTTTCTGCCAATATCTCAGTTACATTTATACTTGTAATTGTGAGGTATTCCTTGTAATTGTTAGCCAATACCTCAGTTATATATATATATATATATATATATTTGTAAATTGTTAGAAGAATTGGTAGTCATTATAAAATCATACTTCATGTAATAAGAGGTTCTATAGTCATTTAATTTTTACTTATATATGGCATCAAATAAATGTGACCACAACATCATGAAATGAATATTTCTTGGAAATTAAAAATGTGAGATAATTATTTGATGAATAAGTCACTAGTAACCCATATCGTTAAGAGTTGTTTTGGCATCTTGAAGATGATGATGCAACAAGGAGTTCTGTTCAGTTAGTTAAAAACATTGAACATTTTTCCAGGTCCATCGATATTGAATCAATTGAGCTCACCTCTAAGACATGCTCCACTTTTAATAGACGCTACCCTATATCATCAAAATTGTTTTCAAAGTTTTGAGTTCGATACTCTCCTAGCCTAATATGGTAATATCTCGTACACATAAAATAAATAAATAAAGATGACGCAACTACATTTACATTGTTTTCGAACACAAAACGGTGGCTCATCCAAAGACTCGTCACTCAATTAGTTAAAAACAACCCCTAACATGCATTAATACTATTTTCGAAAAAACGGTGACCCATTAGAAAATCCAAAATAGGCCCATTACAAACGCCCGTTTCCTGGTTTGCCATATCCAAGCCCAAAACAAAAAGCCTAAACACAGTGAAGTAAACGACTCTCTCTCTCTCTCTCTCTCTCTCTCTTCCCCGCCCACCACTCTCTCTCACTGTACATCTCTACTCCTCCCATGGCGTTTGGATACATAAGGCAGTTTCTGGCTTCGGAGGCGTTCAAAAATTCAGGGAGAGAAATAATAGACGTCGTACCGAGACTGGTAAAGTTCGTATGCTTCGTCCAAGTCACCAAGACGCAACTCCTCACCGTAGCTCTGGTAACTGTTAACTGATATTTTTTTTATATTTTTAATTGCGTTAAATTCGATGAGCTGAGCGCAAAAATGAACAGAAACACGGGATGGGTTGTGATTCCGTGTGTGCAGTGCTACGGTCCCAGCATGCTCCCGACCATCGGCCTGGCTGGAAATAATTTGTGTTTGGCTGAACGCATCTCGACCCGGTTCGAAAGAATCGGTGTCGGAGATATTGTCATGGTACGGTCGCCTGAGGCTCCTCGGAAGACCGTCGCCAAGAGATTGATAGCAACGGAGGGTCAGTCTGTTACTTATGTTGTCGACCCTAAGAACGGTGATCGGTCGGAGACTATAGTGGTATCTTCGTGTTCCATTTCAACTTTGCAATGTTGGTTTTGTTTTGGATTTTGGGTTTTTGGTTTTCGACATTTTCGTTTCTGTTCTTCGGTTTTTTTTAAGGATTTTGGAGATTGTAATGTTGTTGTTGGTAATAGGTTCCCAAGGGACATGTTTGGGTAGAGGGAGACAACATCTATGCCTCGCGTGATTCGAGGAATTTCGGGCCGGTTCCTTACGGGCTAGTTGAAGGCAGAATCTTCTGGAGGGTGAGAAAGTTTTCTTCTTTTAGCTCGATTTGAATTATGTGCATGTACATCGTTTGGATGGGTTTCGGATTGACTTGCTATGCGTAAAGGAATTCATGTTGAGTGGAATTGTGAAGAAGATATGCCCTTTCAATTTGTGAGTTGTAGGATTGTTTGTTTTAGGAGAGTACATGGCGGAAAACCAAGCGCAGAGGCGTTGTATGATTCATGCAGCCGACCCCACTTAGTGTGATAAGGCTTGGTTGTTGTTGTTGTTGCAGAAAGTATATGAAATTTAGCTCCAATATAAGCTAGAAATCAAGTAATGGTGAAAATTGTAAGGGATATGATGCGCGTAAGTGATTGTCGTTATGCTTTTCAATGTGAAGATTCGGAAGATGTATTTACTGGCAGTGGTAGAACTAGTATAGTATGATAGAAATGAACAACGAAGTGTCTTTTAGTAGTTTTATTTTCTTGTTTGGTACTAAAGATTTCTCGTGTTTGATCACTTTGTCATTAGATATGGCCGCCCAAAGACTTTGGATCGTTGGAGCAAAGCAAAAGGAAGGATATGGACTCATGAGGTACACTTACTGAACATGCACAGTGTTAGTAAGCCATTTGTAACTAGACAATCTTGTTCTGAAGCTGCTGTTTGAGTGATGTATAAGCTCCTTTTAAATCATTGAGCGGATACAATCCTTTTCGCAAGATAGTCGTAGCAAGAGAGGGAACAAGATGCTTTTCCAGTTAAGGGCACGCCAGTACTGATAGTCGTCGAATTTTACACATCTTAGCCAGTTTTGAGGTTCAATCTTTTGTGGTTCAATCTTTAAATCCACCACCAACTTACGTTTCAGTGATTTCTCCATTGATGCCATGGTTTACTGTATACGTGGATTGTGATTGCCTTTCGATGGAAGTGATCTCTAAGAATTCATACTTTCTGCATAAACTTATATTTCAGTAGTCCTGAGAAATCTTGGGGTTGCAGTCTTCATGATTTGGGTTGATCGGAGCATTTCTTTATACAAACTTTCTCCGGTGTGAATCTTTGAGAGATTAATCTTTTACTTATAGGATGTACCTTCCGGCGCAAGTCTGCAGATCAGGCGTGAATCGATTCACTTTCCACTTTTTCGCAACAAACACAAAGCTGTTATCTTTTTATTTCAACTTCAACAAAAATTCAATGAAGCACATCAAAATACTTTTGGAGTGGAAAGAATCCCTCACGTAGCATATGGTTGCTATTTACATCCCCAAATGTCAAAAAACCATGGCAATGGCGACTTATGGCTGTACACAAATTTCCGGCCAAGAATGTCACTCGACGCCCTCTTCATTTCATCCTCTCAGTGTCGCACTTGTTATCTGGCGTATCGTTCTTTGATTCCAGCTCACTTCACAAATTTGGCGAGCGAGGGCGTGCTTCGCACTCAGGAACCTTAGTAAGACCCTTCACTTTCCGTACAGGATGAGTGTTATACGGGGCTTGTTCTTGATACCTGCACCTGAAAACCAAAATCAGCGAGCACAAACCTGAACGACTATCAACGAAAGAAACCGAGATTTCAAATAGGTCTGCTACTGTAACATCTAGCTACCACGGCGAAATCAAACCTGGTTCCGAAAGCCCATTGCAGCGTGCCAGCTCTGAGGATCTTGTAATGTCGTGGAAACGTCACTGATGAAGGTTAACGTAGACGGTTCTTCTCGTGTGTTAGCTGTTACAGAGGGTGGTAATTCTCTCATGACCCATAAGACAAAGGCTGAAGGTATTGATGAACCTGAAAAAAACAGTATAAACATCGTAAAGATGCTAAAAACGACAGGATTCATCTAACCACGAACAGTAAAGGAATTTAGAACGACCTACCTACGAAATAATATAAAATCAGTAAAACAGAAGTATAAACATCCTTTATACGCTGGTGATGCCAATCATAAAGCATCTGCAGAACGATATGGTCAAGTTTCAGAGATTCATTAAACTGACTTAGATGTCTGAATAACGAAAAAAACCTTTGAGCTAACAATCAAGTACGTACAGGAATATCAGTTAATAGAGCCACCAAAGAACTTGAGGCGAAACAGAGAACGGAAACAACAGCTAAACCTGCAACCTGTCAACAAAGAAGACGGAAGCAAGTGATAAACTATAAGCCACTGATATATGTTCGCCGAACAATACACTTTCCGAATGATCTGATACTTTAACGGACAGATGAATGATATTATATACAACATGAGATTATGGAAATCAAGAAAACAAAGACCAAAATAAAAGTATACCTTCCACATCTCAGAAGAAGCTCTCTCAGATCTAACGTTTCTCATTCTCAGGCATAATAGGAGCCCTGGAAATCCAAGACAAAGCAAAACGACAATTCAGATTTAAGGATAAGTATATAGAGGTGTTACTGACACTCCAAAATAGTCATCGCGCGCCCCTTCCCCTATAAAAATAGGGAGGAGTTGCACATAAAGAAATGCAAGAAAGTACAAGAGTGTGAAACGATAATTACTCACCATAACACGCTAATGCTCCTCCTAATAATAGTATCGCTATTGCAAAGAGATCTACATATACCTGGATAATGATAAAATTCATTGCACCACGGGTTAACTACTCGTTAATAAGAAATAAGTACGATGCAAAACTGCATATTCGGCCACAACAGTGATAACCTTCTTTACATCATCAAAAAGGAATTATACACATTTTAAACACCACTACATTACTAACAGTCTGCATCCAAGTTATAAGCTGAAGAATTATTTTATGGTCTGAACACAAAACTGAGGCAGCAAAACCTTATTTCTTTTAGCATCTAAATATAGCAAAACTGGAACTATAGCATAGCAAAGATAGAAGGTGATCACACATGTAACAATCTAGAATTAGCAACGCATTCATACCCGAGCCACCAGTGCAGAATCAATAGGATTTTGTCCCATCCCGATCCAAATTATCACTGCACTTGCTATCATTATAACAAAAACTAGCAAGGTGACCTGGTAGACAACCTCAAAGTTAATAAACTTTAACATTAATTTGCACAAAACATGACATAGGGAAATCATGCAACGCTAAGGACTAATATTAGATCATATATGAGTAGATAACAGGGAACCCTGAACTGTGGCAATACCAAAATTACGATTCTCTGGCGGCTTCCAATACGAATAAATCGCAAAGGAAAACAGGTCCTATGACTATCTCTGTCCAATGAATCTGGTCTGCTGAATGTCTGCTCCAACAAAGCTTCACGAAAATTCCCTTCATCCTCATCATCCTCATCATCTGCCTGATGACACAGGTCAACCCTAAAGAGAGATGTCATATATAGCTCAAATGAAACACCCTTTTCAATATAAGTACCAACTTGAGAAAGGCAATATTCAGGTAAAGAATGGTTGATATATCTTTATTCATGTAAAAGAGCACTTCCAGATCTCTATTTTCTGATGGCTCATAAAAAACACACTATAGAGACATTAGTAATCAACAACAGATCCTAATTATAACAGAATGGCCTGAAAAGAAAACAGGAAAGGCACACCACAGATCTATCAAAGCCACATCCTTCAAATCCATAAGCAATGGATTTCTAAACCGTTCAACGAAAGAAAAATACAAAAGTAACGGGATCAGCTATATGCTGAATTGCGGATTCATAATATAAAAGTATATGGGAGCACTATATGTCTCAATAGATGTTGATTTATTATGTATGTACTACTTCTCAGGTAATGCTGGTTATTCATCTTCACATCCATACTTCTGTTATCCTCATCCCATGGTTGTGTTTTTGCCTAGTTGCCCAGCACAATGTATGATGTTACTATTATACTTTTTAATTAACAGGTAATCTACGGTCACACAATACTCCCAATGCACTTTTCCATTTCATCCATCTTACTCTCTAGTCCCACCTCAACCTCTGTGTTTGCGAATGGAAACAACAGTGCTGCTAATCGAAAACATATAAGGCAGGTTGTATCCAAGATAGATGAAAAAAGCTAAGATCTCTACACTTTTTTCGACATTTTCATGAAAGTTCGTGAGCTAAGTTTTGGATTGTTTAAAATGAAAAAGAAGAAAAGGAAATAGAAAACTTACCAGAACGATAAAAGTAGAAGAAACACTGCAAAAAACAGAATTTCGGGTAATGCTGCAAAGCATTTTAACCATTCAGATAATCTGACCAAGCACTGAAGATAGATATATGGTGTGTATTGAAAGAGAAAGCATACCCATGAGGGTAAAACCACAAGAGTTAGACCAACATTGCCACCCCTTGCAAGCAGCAAAAAGAGTTAATACAAAATAAATTAAGCAACCTGTCACAGACAAGATCAAATAAATTAAATCAGTTTGAATCAAGATGTAAATACAACACGCTTGTCGAAGTCATAAGTTAATGGAAAAAATCATTACGTAAGATGGTATCATCAGTTCTGTATCTTGGTTGTGTAACAACTGGCTATTTCCGTGAGTCCAAACTCATGAAAAACCAACAAGTTGTTGCAAAATCAGTCATACATAGAACATCAGGTGATTTCAAAAGCCAGGAAAAGAGAGCCAAAATATCAAGGCTCTTGATATGCAACATAATTAAGGCGAAGCATTCTTGAAAGAGAATATCAGATCTCAGACAAGAATAGAAGGCAATAGTGCATCAGGATTGGGAATAAACAATTTTTACCCAAATTAGAAGAGCCAATCAACATATGAAAAACCTGCAGCGAGGCAATAGTATGTATTAAGACAATGCCAGCATGCTTTAGTAAGCTTCAATATAGCAATTAGTCATGCCGTAAGTACATATACATATTCACATGCGTACAAGTGAGCATATTCATGCAGGTGCAGCACCAAACACTAAAATATTACTGTATAGCCATCATGCACATGTATGATGTACCCCTTCATCATTTTCCTCCCCATATATGCATCCGTTCAAAATTAAATTTCCCTACCAAATTCTTAGGAACAATATCTATAGATGCAATTTTTTATGGGACTCAACCTTGGGAGTTGGCAACCTATGACTTTAACGTATTCAGCAACAGCTCAATTTCTCTAACAGTCACCAAAATCTTCACATTAAGACTGATTCCTAGAAGGCCTTACGATGTCAAACTACTACATCCAGAACAAATAGGTAAATCCAGCAAGCTAACAATTTCTTTTAAAATTTAGCTACATCATGCATGCACGCACGCACAAACACATGTATAAATGTCAGGAGTTTTAACGAAACACTCCCGGTACTGTTCACTTTATAGAAAAGGACATTTTAACTCTAAAAAGTCACTCCTAGTACTATTCACTTACAACACCTTTTTGTCCTTTTGATTAAAACTCAAAGTTTTCAAGCCCCTTTCATTAGTTTTCCTATAAACGTGTTGGTATGTATGTATGCATATGTATGTATTTGTATTACATACCTGCATATATATAGAAAAAATATACACAAACAAACAAAAAGAAACAGAAATAAAATGTGAATTTGAATAAGGAATAGTAATCTTGACCAAAAAATAAATAAATAAGGAATGGTAAAGCATGGTTCATCACTTACTTTTTGTCGAGTCCAGCCAAGTTGTGAATTCCTCGAGTGAATTCTAATTAACTGAAATAGCAAGGAAAAGAAACTCAGAATCATTTCAACAAAAGAACCTCATAGACGCCAATCATAGGCTTCCCCAGTTTTAAAATGTTGATGTAACCAAATTTACTTAAACATAAGAACGTATCTTGAGGATAAAAGTTATGGAGATTGAGAATGGGGATTTAGCAGTAATCTTAAAGTCACGCTCACTGTTCTAAAAATCCCCGCCTAGCACCTAGGCACCTAGGCGATTGGCCACCGGCCCGGTTAATGCCTAGGCGTTTGAAAATTTAGAAAGGACGCCTAGACCTGCTGAGGCACCCACCTAGCCTGCCCAGACATGCCTAAACTCCTGCCTAGACCGCCTAGTCCGCTACCAGACTAGTGCCTAGCATCTTTTAGAACCTTGGTCAAGCCCAAGTCTCATAACCTAGCTATTCTTCAGAGTGAGGACTAGTAAGGCTCCATGATGTGATCTTTCAAGTATCCTGAACATAAATTAAACTAAACACACCGAACATTTATAGGTATAATTGCTTACAAACCCGTGCTAAGAGCAATTGGTCGACAAAGTTTTGAGCACCATGTATTTGTATTCATTACACTAGCTATACAAAACATGATCTCAAACAAATTAACTATCCCATATGATCTCCTTCATGTATCAGTTAATTATATATCTTATTCGTTGAATTCAAAATAATTCCTTGTCTCCAATTTCCCCATTGTAATCGGTTCATGTGTATTGAAAGGAAGAGTTATACCCTGGGCAAGAACCTAAGAAACAAAAAGGGTCACTGCCTGCTCTGAAGCACACATTCTTTCTATCAAAAATGGTTACTGGTTGATCTAAAATCAATCCATTCACATATTTATGCAAAATCCCAATTACCAGTCCAACGAGAAAACCAAATGACAAGTAAAATTCTCAAAAAATCAGAAAAAATATCAAGCAAAATGCCCATTTCAAATTGTCCAAAAACATTCAACGTGCTACCAATCCCATTCCTCAAGTTTCACAGTAAAGCACATTCCTTTAAAACCCACATTGACCATCTTTCCCACAATATAATCTCACCAAACAAAACCCAATTGGGAAAATTCCAATGCACACAAAACTGAACTCAAAAACAAAAGTAAAACAAATATATAAATAAGAAGCAAACCTGATAAAATGCAAGAAGTGCTATAATGCCATCAACCAGAGCAAGACCCACATTCACTCCCACCAACACCCTTGGAAAGCAAGACCCTTCTCTCAATCCAAACATCCTCCTCCAAACTCTCTCTCTCTCTCCTCTCTCCCTCTCTCCCTCTCCTCAATAACCCACTCTTTCTCGCTCTAGATTAATTAAAAACTAGACAGCTAAGCAAAAGAGCAAGGCTAGGGTCTGCGAAGCGTACGGACCCCTTGTGCCTTTGATGGTATCCTTCACGACAGATCTGCGCGCTGCTTCTGATGCTGCCTTGATTTCATCTTTTTGCCGTGTTGCCCCCACAACCCACCAACGAAATCTTCCAACTTCACAGACCAAAATCTTGGTGGTATTTGGAGTAATAACCTTGCGATGTCGAGGGTAAATCGATAGTTTGGACGCACACGGTCTGATTCTCTCGCACGCGGGCGGCTTTGATTCTCCCATGAATGTATCATTATCAACGTATCAAAATCATAATTTTTGCCCTTTTTGACTCCCACGGGTTTGACTTGGTATTTCAACCAATCACAAAAAGGCTATAATTTCTTTTTCTTTTTTTTATTTAATTATTTTTTTTAGTATGTAAAGTTTTGCTAAAGGAGGTTAGCTATAGTCTTCGCCTTCCCTTGTTTTTTTCTTTTAAAATATACTTTTCTTGAGGATTAATGATTAGTTTTATATTTATTTTAGGGGTATGATATTCACACATCTTTTTTTATTTTTCTTATATCTTTTTAATTTTCGGCAGTCGAATCGAATAAATTGAAAAAGATCAAATGACGTGAATTAATAAGAGATGTGAGAAAAGTAAAAGGGGATGTGTTATCCACACACCCCTTACCTTATTGTTTATTAGTTTTTTCATCACAGGCACATGTGGAAAATCTTTTATTTATTACGACCGCTGCGCATATCCATTTTGTATTCCTATTATTTGCAGTTAAATTAGAAATAAATTTCTGCATGTTGAGAAGTTTTTGTTCCTGCCTAACAATGTTCAAAAAAAAAAAAAAAAACCAATACGGTCATTCTAAAAAATATACTTATCAAAATGGAAGATGAGGACCTTTTTTTTTTTTTTTTTTTTTTAACAAACGATATATTACAGTATAGGGTCGATGGCGTAGGCTAAACCTTAAAATGATCTAGTAATAATGTAGTTCAAATTTGTTTTTGACGAGAATTAAACCTAAGACTTTTAACTTACAAGTAAAATAAATACTACTAGACCGTAGTGACAAGAAGAGGACCTAGTTGAACACAAAAAAGTGTTAAACTATTCTAATTTCTAACAAATTGCTTGAACCAAGTAGCAGCACGTAGATGAAAAGTCCACAGATTAAACAATTGAATAGTCAAATAAAACCTCGAACGTAAAATTAAGATTGAGAGCACAGTTGACAAACTCTCCCTCGAAGCCTCCACCAGCCAATTGATTTTCGTTGTAACCCCTACTTTGTCTATGTTTTCAATTCTTGGAGGTTGGATCCTTGACAATTTTCTTCATCTGTTCTTTATTTCCGGTTCTCATTTCTCTCCGCTTCTGCTAAACTGCTTCCATCTGCATGTTCTCGTCCTTCATCATAAATCTGCAACTGCAAGAAAGAAAGACATAACAATCCACTAATCTGAGAACGTCAAATTGTTTGATCCGTGGAAATGGAAAGAAAAAACAGTCTGGTGATTGGAACTGCCACTAGTTTCGAAAGTGGAGTGCCCCCAACTGCATGCATGGACGATTGGGAGAACCGAAACAACAATCCAAAACAAACTTGGAAGTCAAGCAAAAAACGTCCAAATTAAACGGATATCAGTACCGTGTGAATGATCTTAACTGAAACCATATATCGACAGAGTCACAGACCTTTGCAGAAGGTTGATATGTCTAAATACAAGTTAGTTTTTTATCATTAATAATTTTGACACCATCTTATGGTCAATTATTTATTAGAGCATCTCAAAATTTGTTCATCAAATGATGTGGCCTTATCTCTTCGATTTTCCAAATTGGCAAACAAATTTAGTAAATAGATTTAGTGACTCTAGCACTAATTTAACAAGAGTGTGTTATGTTTCTATCACACTATTTTTTTACATAAAACTACCTTAACTATAGGTAAAACTACAATCTCATACCTTATGTTTTAAACATTGTAATGTCATACCTCAACTTATGAATTCGTTACAATTAATGTCATACCTCAGTTAAATTTTCTGTCAATTTAGTTTTTAAATGATAACGTGGTAGAAGCGATGCCCACTCCTTCGCCACGTCATCATTTAACAGCCAAATTATTAATTTTTTAGTAAATAAATTATTAATTAATTAATACTTGTTTATTCCAATTGGCAAAGGAGTAGGCCCCACTCCTGCCACGTTAGCATTTAACAGCCAAATTAGCAAAAAATTAAGGTATGACGTTACAATAAATTCATAAGTTGAGGTGTGACATTGCAACGAATTCATAAATTGAGGTATAACATTGCAATGTTTAAAACATAAGGTATAAGATTGTGGTTCGACTCATAGTTGAGATAGTTTTTTGTAATTTACTCTTCTTTTTTTTTTTTTTTAATACAAGCAATATTACTAATGTAAATTACCCTAAGGAAAGGGGGGAATGTTTGAACTTAGGACCTGGTGAATTAAAGCAGAAGACTTTTATCACCAAAACAATCCATCGCTTGCCTATATTAGGCTGTCATGCTATCATTGTATTAAAAATTTATCATATTTCATCTATCTAGACTTAGTTAACTTTGATCTCAAAAATGTGGACGCAAATCTAACGCACGACAATATTGTAATTGTATCTCTTTCGTAAAGACAAAAATTCCAACTTTTAATATAGGAGTTAATAAAGTATATAATATATTAACAATCAGTTAAGACATTACTTTCGCAAGTTAATTATTGAAAGTAAAAAAAAATCTTATTGAGGTTGAATTGTGAAACGGTAACACCATGCGACGAGTCTTTCTAAGGTGTGTGGCACCAACATATGCATTGCCAAATAACACATTAATTTATGAGTAAAATGTCCAACTTCTGGTTAGAATAATATTGGTAATACATCGAAAAAATAAAAGCTTTTAGGGGAAATGTTGGTAATATACTAATATTACTAATTAACTGGAAATTAATTAGTTAAAACCCAAAACAAATAAAACTGGGGAGAGAGGACAATTTGAAAAGCATATCTAGTTGGTCAAACAGCATTGAATAACCAAGATGCGGTTTTCCATCCTATATAAGCACATGAATTGTAAGGAAAACCAAACCAAGCAAACCTTCTTTTTACAGGCCAATTACTAAGAAAAACAATTCTTTCATCATTTTCCAAATGGCCATGGAGGGAAAGCAAACTAGAGGTAGGCAAAAGATTGAGATGAAGAGGATCGAAAACGAAGAGGATCTTCTTGTTTCTTTCTCGAAACGGAGATCCGGCGTCTTCAAAAAAGCTAGCGAGATGATAACACTATGTGGCGGTGAGGTGGGAATTGTGGTTTTCTCACCATCTGGCAAGCCTTTCTCGTATGGTCATCCATCTGTCGACAATGTCATCAATCGGTTTCTGGACCAAAATCCACCCGAAAACGATGACTACACTATTCAGTTCATGGAGAATCATCGACAGATGAGAATTTCCGAGGCTATCGAACAGTACAACGAGCTTATCAACCAGTTAGAAGATGTGCAGGAGCGACAGAAATCGCTCCTAAGGAAAGCCAGGAGAAGGAGGAATCGAGAGCACCTGTGGTGGAGTGCACCCCTTGATGAGCTTGGGGTGGATGAGCTCAAACAAGTCTATGTATCCTCGGCGGAGATACACATGACAATCTCCAACCATCTTAAGGAGAGGAGTACCAATATTTTTGGTGCCTCCTCTTCTGGATCTGTCCAACAAACCAATCCCAACTTTGATGCAAATCCAAGTGGGACTGGTTCTTATGCATTTCCTCCTGGCTACGGCCATTAATTTTGAAAAACCCTCCTTAAAGCTAGCTAGGGTTTTTCAAAGTAGGACACATGAGTGGGTTACTTTACTAAATCCAAATGCCCCTTTTATTACTTAGTAATTTCAATTGTTGCGCCCACATGAGTTTATGTAGATTTACTTTTTGTTTAATTATAATTATTAGTTGCATTTTAATTCAGAATTGAGTTATATGAGTAATTGAACCAGCAGTAGAAGTTTCGTGATCATATTTCAACATAATCAAAATTAAATGACTAATGTATGTATTTGATATTTATGACTTGTGCTCATAAGCGTTCTTGCTAAACATATTTTTATTGGAGACACGTGTTGTACTTTTTATAAAAAAATTCAAGGACATGCTTTTTTTCAAAAAAAAAATATTTGATAATGCCTTTTGCCATAAAGCATCTCATCACATTTTGGATTACATCTCATCACATGTGTTTCTCCAAATAATTTGATAATTCCCGGTGTTTGGCAGTTAGGAGGAGGCCGATCAGAGCCGTGACTGTCCAATTGGCGGAAGCGTTGGGAGTGCTGGAAGGTTGCTGCATGGCGAGACAGAGGGGGTTCTCCCGCATTGTGATTGAGTCGGACTCTAAAGGGATCGTTGAATGGCTGAACGGGTGTATTGAGCAAGGGGCTTGGGAACTGTTCCCTGTTCTTGGTAAGATACGAAGCGAAGGTGAATCCTTTGTTTCTTGTGACTGGTCTTGGGTGCCAAGATCAACTAACAAAGCGGTGGATCATGTGGCATCGCATTCTAGGGTGGAGATGTGCAACTTGTATGGGTCCGTAGACCCCATCGTAGTTTGTTCGTATCCTAAACAAAGATGGTTTTCCTTGCCCTCCATTCAATTTGTTGTGTATGTTTTGTACATATAAGGGTGACATGTGGTTTCCATGTCGTGTTCTTGCCCTTCTAGTGTTGTTTCTATTTTGATGTTGTTAGCCTGTGTGGCTTTCTGTATCCCGGTTTTGGCTTTGGCCTTGGTTAATGATATTCTCCAGTTCTTCAAAAAAAAAAAAAAAAACACACATTGCAATCTCGTCTGACCAACTAGAGAAAGCACCACTATTTTTTTTAACAACCAATTTTAGTGGAGGGGAAACTGAACTCAAGACCTTTAGTGCAAGAGTGAATTATCGCACAACAAATTAAGCTACAAATCTTTTGCAATTAGATTATTTAGTTGATAAAAAATTAATTTCTAAGATGAAACATGAGACCAGTAATACAGTACGGCCTAGTGACATTCCTTTTACTTTGATCCATTGGGTGCTTAATCCTAACCTTCACCTCTAACATCATTTTATAAAGAATAAAATGAAAATATTAAACAGATATGTTTATTTACAAAATTAAGATAAAACACCTGCCAAAAACTATAATACATTCAAGGAAATATCATTTAAGTAAAAACATCGTTGGCAATTAAAGAATGGTAAGTTAATTGTAATTGGTAACCATGTTCATTGGACTTTCCCCTTGCCAGTTAGAGGCCATGCGTTATCACACTATCCATGGACCTAACAAAATTTATTACTTCGTGATAATTCTCACTTTTTTTTTACTTTTTACACCTATTTTTTAATTTCTAACTCTTGAATTAGATAAATTAAACGAAAACAACGGACCTCATGCAACAAAAATAAGTGAAATTTTTTTAAAATTGTGCGTTTATCGTTTCCCTAAATGAAAGAATTCACATCTCATTTTCCTTTTTAAGTTATAACTGCCATTTATATTGGAAAACTCAAACAATGGGATAGCTACAAATAGAGAGCTTACCTAATATGTAATCCAAAATTTTTTTCCTCATTCAATTCCAGAATATGAAGTGCAAAATTTGAATTCAATGATGCCAACCCAAAGTGGCCAGCTCTAATGTAATATGGAAATTTTCAAAAAGAAAAAGGAAAGATAATATAAAATTTAATAGCTTTATATATCAGCAATTTTCTCATAAAATAAGGGCTAAAAACCATTATTAGAAACATTGAATCATTACTTGGGGTACTTATATCCCAAGCCCTATATATACTCCTTCACTTACATCAACTTCCCCATAAATCTTCCGATAAAAATTCTCCCCCCCCCCCAAAAAAAAAATCATTAGGCATGGGGAGGAGAAAAATTGAGATGAAAGTGGTGGAGGATAGCAGCTCTAGGCAGGTGACCTTCTCCAAGCGCAGGAGTGGCGTGTTCAAGAAAGCAAACGAGCTCGCCATCCTGTGCGGCGCTGAGATTGCCGTCCTTGTTTTCTCTCCGGGAGGGAAGCCCTTCTCGTTTGGGCACCCGAATGTGGAGTCTATCGCAGATAGGTTTCTAAATGAGGAGTGCCCTAAATCAAAATTTGGGGTTTCAAAGAATGATGAAAAAGCGAGGAGGCTTAACCAGCAACTGGAGGACATGGACAGCCAGTTGGAGGCTGAGAAGAAAAGAGGACTTGTGCTTGACAAGGCTGTACTGAAAGCAAGGGGTTTGCCACTCAAAAGCAAACCGCCGAGCTTTCGTGAGCAGAGCCGGGCAGATCTTCGAAAAATGAAGGCGTCGCTGGAGGCGCTGCGCGAGACCGTGAAAGAGAGAGCCACTGAGGTGGAGGCATCGTCTTCGCTGCTTCTCCTGGCAAATGACAGGAGAGACTGATATGACTACTGTTGCTAAAAATGACAGACCTTAATTAGGTAAACTTTAGGGAATGAATGTCTTTCTGCGCTTGTGTGATGCTGGTGTTAGGTAGATTAATTTTGCTGTACCTGAGATGGAATTTCCTAATATATGAAATGGGTTGAAGGACATATGTGGTTGCTTATATATTATATTATTTTCAATTGTCTGTTGGTAGAAATGTTTTGTGTGCTTCTATTGTTGAGTTGTGTCGCGGGTGTCAATTATTCAAAGAGACTGATCATTCATTCACTCCTAATTATATTAATATTGTCTTAATTTAACGACCTATTTTTAGGTATTGAGTTTTACCTAAAAGTCTTTGGTGTTATTAGAGGTAAAACCATACACTCATATATTGTATTTTATTTTCTCAATTCTCCAATGTGAGACTTATATTTAACTTGTCCCCTCACGCGAGACCACTATATAGTGACCACACGTGCAACCAATCTCACATTGGACTATTAAGCACAAAAGCATGGTGTTACATTAAACCTAGTAACTCGAGCATGACATGGACCCACAAGACCCACAATCAAACCCTGCTTTGATACCATGTCAGATATTTAGAGAGATGAGTCATTGACTCACTCCTAACCATAACGATATTGTCCTAACTTATCTACCTATTGCTATGTCTAGTACTTTTCAACAAAATGTCTCTGGTGTTATTAAGAGTGAAATCATAATCTTATATATTATATTTTATTTTCTCAATATTTTGATGTGGGACTTATATTCAACAACAGGTACTCACTTGGTGACATATTATTTAGCTTATAAATTTAGTCTATAACTTTAATCTCCTTAGCATTACTCATACGAGAAATTATTAAATACTACAGTATCACCACAGTGGATGTGATACTTTCATTGAAAACTTGACATGTGTTATTTATTTTTACAATTGGATTTGAAATTCATTTTGTCTCTTTCAAGAAATTAAATTAAGAAATTAAAAAAAAAATCTGAAAATAGAGTAAAAAACCTGCCTCTGGACGCCGGACTCTCCATCCCTTTTCCTTCCTCTCTTCTCCTGCTCTTTGTCTCTCCCTGCTTATCTTTTTCTTTCTATGTAAATTTTAATCTCAATTGAGAAAAGATTGATGCCTATAAAATTATTTTTATAAACAGAGTTGGCGACCTTCGGGATCTTACCCCTAACCTTCCCGGCACGTGCAAGCGACCAGTGAACCAAACCATGGCTGATTGCATGATGCTGCTGCTATTTGCCGGCAGAGAGTCTGAGGATGAGGGAAGCCTATGTGTGTGTATGTTTATCGCTGTAAGATTTTGAATGAAAGTATCACAAGTGACGTGGTACTACTGTACCATACTATAATTTCTTCGTAAATACGTGTTGTCTACATAATAAGCAGACGTAAAGTCTGAATAAAAAACTAGTAGTGCGTAAATCTTTATGCCTATAGCACTCCACTCATCATTTGATAAGAGCTCGTGATGAGTTTTCTTACAAGGCTCATAAGCCCGGATGTACGCAATTTAATTATATACTTAATCGGAGATTAATGGCATTAAAACTCTTCTAGTAATGTTGGACATATATATTTGAGAGAATATTTATAATTGTGGGATATACACACACACACATACACATAGAAGGATATTCATACCCTTACATTCCAACCTCGAACAAGAGGTACTTTTGTATGTTTCACTTTGTAATGTACTTTAATTATCTAAACCATTTAATTTTTAGATCTTCCTCACATATATTAAGGAAATTGGGCTTAGTAGTCCTTTTACAAATCCATCAACCAAAGATAATCCTGCTGTAAAAATGCAGCCTTTCCTAGCCCTCTTTGACAAAAATATCTTTAATTAAATTAATATATTATTGACACAATATTAATACATTCTCAATACAATATTGATATATAGCTTATTGACACAATATTGAATGTTTTTCATCGAAGAGAAATAGTAAAGATTGCATGTTGAAAGCAGGACTGTTTTTTGTTGGTGTATTTGTAAAAGGACTAGTAAGCTTAATTTTCCTATATATAATAGTTGCAAAATATTAATAAAAATTTTACTATTAGGCCAGTGGTGCTCTCAAATTTGAATCTTTCTATTCATAGCTTAGCGTAATTTAATTAGATATCAATAAACAAAAGACTTTATATATAAAAAAGATATGGATCATCCATGTAAATGGTGAAAACATTGAAAAATAAAAAGATACCTAGTAGCTTTATATCTCGAAAAGCAAGTATACAATGAATAGTAAATCAAAATAAAGATAGACTTAAATATAAACTCTTAATTGATACCTTAATCTAGAAAAGAACATGCATGGTATGGATGATAATGTGGTGTCTTATGTGTTTGAAAAATTGGAGAAATATATGGAGGAGGTGGGGTGGAGTCCATATCGGAGAAAATCTTAAATTTTGGCTAAAATCAACAGAATTCGTCGATTTGTCCTACGCATTGGTTAAATATCAGTGAAACTATTATATTTCTTCTATACTAGTGTTGACATTCCCTAAATTTTCATTTTAAATTTCCAAGCTTTTTAGCAAACTTCCATCATTTTTATCAAATGCAACTGATATCAATTTTATCAATATTTCTACAAATTTGTATACCAATATTGTGATACCAATATTTTTACCATACTAATATTTTAAATACTGGGTGTCTTAGGCACTGGGAGACCAAAGCCGACAAAGGCAAGATGAAATAGACATGGAATACTTGGAATTTTTTTGGTTAAAACTTTTGGCAAAACAGAGTAAGCATTTCGTATATGACCTGGAGTTCCAATGGGATGGACAAACTCGCTAGCTATCTATTTCCTGACTTCATTTTTTATAGATATTTTGGACTACACTCTTCATTTGTTTATTTTGGAGCATCTAAATAATATACAAATTAACCACTGCTAGCCTGTTATTATGTTGCTGGTCTCCTGGATTAACTAGGAGAACAAGTTAGGCAGCATGGTATTAGTGGTTAGCTACTTTTCTTTTATGATACAACGACATATTTACAGTAACGGGTAAGATATTCGAGCTAAATGTATCAGTTATTAGTATCAAACTTTTTATTTATGAAAGTCGAACCTAATATTAGGTGACATGTGTCACTATTTATTGAGAGTATGGATCTCACATCGGAGAAAAAAAGATCTTACATGTGCTTATAAATAATTGAACTATACTCATATTGTTAATTAGTTTTATAATAGAACCTCATCTTTTTTTGTTAGCTAAAGAGTAAGCGAAATAAGAATCTTTCATGCCCAAAAACTGAATAATTAAGCTCACGGTTTTCTAAATCCTCTCACATCTGGCTAGAAATCATTGAAGGGAATT